TTTCTCGTATTTATAAATAGATTCCCTGAGGAAGACGCGAATATGCGTCTAAACGAGTAGGAGGAAAATAACCGTTTATTCTTGTTGTAATAAAATACCGAAAAGCTCCATACACAACATTAAACTCTCAGCTTAGTCGAGGAGAAATAATTATTACATACACGTATGTTTGGTTTTTGTACGGCTGCTAGTACCACTTTATATGAATTCGCTATTCTTCTACGCGAGTATCTGAAATGTGCTACTCTTCCACGCAAAAATCTGAAATGTGCTAGTCTTCCACGCAAANTGGCACATACTTTGCAATTTTCAATATTCCGACAATACTTTTTTGTGTGCCCAAGTTTTTGACAGGTAAGGCACCTCAAAGGATTCGGAATGTACTCATAAACTTGCACTTTTTCCCATCCTATATTCAACTTTTCAGGGCGGTGTATAAGGTCGAAAGTTATGATAGCGGCCCCTGTGGGAATAAGGTTATCATTTTCTTTTTTGAGTATCTTTTTGACCGATATGACTTTTTGGTCGGCTAAGTATTTGGTTAGCTCTTCATCGGATATATTTATAATTTTCTTTGAATATATTCTGCCTTGTGAGGAGTTCAGATTTGTGTGTAATGTGATTTGCACTGGAATCAAGTCAATGTATGATGCCTTCATACATTTTTGTGCTGCTTTGAGGTTATTTGTTTTTATCAAAAAGTCGCCCGATTTCAATTCAGTAACTTCAGTATATTCTTTAGATATGTGTTGTAGTTTCTCAATTTGAAAAACGTTATGAGAGGATAATGGAGGAACATTTTGGTCTGGCTTTGATCCAATAGCTTTTGCAACAACATATCGCGGAATATGATCATCATCGAATTCAAGGCCAATTTCAGCATATCTTTTCCTTTTATTTTTAACTTTAGTACCAGGTATAGGATCAGGATCAAGGTCCTTGAACCTATTATTGTAGAGGGTTTCACCTCCTACCATATTAATTCTAATTATATCTTATAATCAGAATAAATTTGTCA